TTACCGCCCTTTCCTCTTCCAAGCATAATAACTACAATTCTTCAGTTCTCAACAGATGGAGATTTGATCCGACCATCTGCTTGAATATGGAGAAAATTAAATTATACTTGGTTAGAGGACCTAATTGAAACCACAATCATGGGCAGTTATACTAAACGTCCCTTGCTGGGCTTATGCAAGTCTGCCAATGATTGATTGTGGTAATAATTGTTGATTGTGGCCACAGCCACCATAGTACTGCTTTAGATGGAGCACAGAGCTGATGTGACATATGACGCGTATTGATTTTCAATACTTTGCATTTTAAACAAACGTTCATTAGTCTCTATAATAGATGACAATTTAGTAATTGTGGTGCTTCTAATTAAGTGAAAAAATGTTGCACGTTATACACAACAAACATACTCATCTGTGCACCAATAAAATGTGCAACATTTATGTTTTACTTCCAAATCACATGTAATATCTAATTAGTAATATTTACCTTGCACGTGAAAGGTTTTATGTATGGAAGTATGGAAGACATCTTGTGAGATCTTGGCAAAAAGTCTGACAATTTATTTCCAGAACATGATGCATGATGGGATACGCTTAGCTAAGTTTACACAGAACTTTATTTACACAGTTTGCACGAGTAATACTTTAAATCGATCACACATCTTATAAAAACCTACTGATCACAGAACAATCAACGAGTGAATTAAGAACATTTCTGCAAACAGTTATTAACATTTAACCATATTAAGATTATAAATGTAAGCTATTTTAAATAGTTTATTAAACAACTAACTTGATATTATTCACTTCTTTATGCTTGTTATTTAAAATACATATTTCCATCTGTCACACCAGCTGAATGTCTTTGAGCATTATGGTCACTCTCTTGGTGTGGAAGACGCACAAGTTGATGTTTTCATTTAACAAATAGGCTATTATTCTTATCACACTTCATTAACTGCAGCAAAAACAGCATATATGAAATATATGAAAATATATGACTGTAAAAATCAGTGTATATGAAAATGTATGCATGCAAGAAAAATAATCTTCATCATAGGCATCAATCTTCAAAACATAGCCACTATTTTATCAGACAGATAACACATTGTATTTAACTATCAATCAAGCGCCCAATTGCACTATTCAATTGTAGTGCAGCACCAACAGAATAATGTAAAAAAGTAATGGCTTTTTGGTCAGTTTAACTTAAGAGTCGTGTTAAACAAAAGTGCTCACTGGAGAAAATGCTGTACTATATTTTAGACATATTTTGCTTACATAATATGTACAGATAATATAATGCATATCTCTAAAGTCTTTCAGTCAAGCATGTGCATAAGCAGTTCACTCAGATTCGTTTCTTAAGCAATGCAAGCGTTACTGTGTCTGCTGGTGTGAATCTCTTTTAGCTGTCTGTTGTCTTCTCTGCACTCAGGGACCTTTAAACAGATAAAAGATGATGCATTAAGCAGGTGATGTGAATGATGCAAACCTCTGATTTGAGTTAATTCTGCTGATGATTTATAGTTGTAATATCTCACTAAACCTCACAAGTAACTGAACTGAATAACTTAAAGCAGATTTATAATGTAAAATAACAATATATGCCACAATCTGCAGGAACGAGTGCATATTGTGAGCTTATTGTCAGTTATTGTAAAATTATTTGAGTTGTAACATAATTCTTACGTGTTTTGTTCTTCTTCCTGTTGAGTATAAGTTTCATCACCAACTCCATCAGCAGCATCTGACGAACACACATGATAAATATTAATAATAAAAAATAAAATATGATTTTTACATTTCTTTAATAAGACACATAACTTTAGGAATCATTTTGATCTGTAGCACAAACGGTGCATGATGGTTAATTCTAATAGTGATGAAGTTTGACTTTGTGTTTCTCACACCAGTGAGAGAAATCTGTGTTGTGGTTCAGTTCAGAGTACAAAGTGTCTCCAGACTCACCACACTTCCCTGATAGAGAACAGCAAAAAGGGAACGAATGAGCATAATGCTATATACATCTACAACACTAATAAATGATAATCCATAATAAGAGAGAACAACAGTTTGGTTATCTGTCTCTCTAGTCTGCCTAGGCTTGTTTTTATCATCTCTTAATTCAGTCTCATTCATTCGTTCGTTCGTTCATTCATTCATTTTTACCTTTGCCCTTGGTTTTCTTTTTGTCCTGTATATTGATCTCTGCGCAAGTCAAATCACTGGGTCCTGCAGTATTAATATCTAATACAAAACAGATGATCATTCAAATTATTGATGCTGAATATATTGTACTTTAGGAAAAAACAGGATCTCACCATTGCTTTTGCATTTTGTTCCTTTTTTTCTGACTTCTGAGTATGTCACATTGTTTGGCTCTGTCATGGCATCATCTAAAGAAAAATAATTAATGATTCTTAATTAATTAGAAAGAAATGTAATTAATTAGAAATGCATTCATGTTTCTGATGATGATTAAATTGAGGTTTATTTAACCTCTGTCCATCTTTTTCTTAATAGTGACCTCTGAATATGTGACATCTGAAAATTGCTCAGGATCATCTAAAAAAAATAAAATAAATCAAGCCAACATGATTGAATGATTGTTGTTGTTTTTTTTGGACCTTTGTCTCCATTGTTCACTACAGTCACGCCATCATAAATGTCATTAGAATCTGTTGGACAGTAAACAAATATTTTGAGGATAAAAAGCAAGTCATAAACAGAAAAAAATAAAGATATTGCAGGGATAGTTAAAAAAATATCTTAAAGAAAACTGGTGTCTGTCACGATTCCGCAGGAGCAAGGGAACGAGGAGACAAGGAATTCTTCAACACAACAGTCTTTATTAATCCAAACACTGGGAACACATGGAACGTAGGAAACACAGAGCACACAAAATGACATATAACAGCGGATGCCAGACACAGGGAAACACAGGGCTTAAATGCAAGGAGTAACTGAGGAAATTAATAGAACACAGCTGAAGCATATCGAACTAAATGAGGACAGGAACAGGAAGGACCAAATAAGGGCATAAACATAACATGGAGCATGTGGGGGAGGAAAACACACACAAAGCATGGAACAGAGTCTGACATTACTCCCCCCTCCCGGAAGGCGCATCCTCGCGCTACATAACATCCAACGGGGAGAGGGGGTGGGCGCTCTGGAGGTCCCTCAGGACAGACACGGGACGGCGGGTCTCCAGAGTGGTACCCGTTCGGGGCGCCATAGCTAATCAGGCAGTTTGGGGCGCCATGGCGGAGCAGGCAGCTCAGGGAGCCAATCAGGCAGTTTGGGGCGCCATGGCGGAGCAGGCAGCTCAGGGAGCCAATCAGGCAGTTTGGGGCGCCATGGCGGAGCAGGCAGCTCAGGGAGCCAATCAGGCAGTTTGGGGCGCCATGGCGGAGCAGGCAGCTCAGGGAGCCAATCAGGCAGTTTGGGGCGCCATGGCGGAGCAGGCAGCTCAGGGAGCCATGGCGGATCGGGGAAC